TTCTATCGCATGACCACATGTGTTCTAACATTGTATGGGATTTTGGACATTGAGGTCCTCATTTTATAGTGAGTGAGTCATTTTTCCCGAGGATTCACAAGTTATGAAAAAGAGACGATGATAGTGAAAAGGCCCTCCAGAACTGCCACCACCAGGGTGTGCAAAAACACTACAGTCCAAGTCCTACCAATGTCTTGACAAATTATGATCAGCACATTTACCAAAACAAACACCAAAGTCAATGCTTCCTTTCATCGTCTTGAAGCAGCCGGTCCAACAAACCCAAAGAATAATTACTAGTTTAGATGTCAACCCAGGCAAAGTGTTGCCTTCTTTGGGGCACTGCACAGTCTGAATCACAAGGTTTCCCTCCAATAATCCCAAAAATCCAAGCCCCCCCATGAGTTGAAACTATGTTCTACAAAAGCAAACCCTATGCTGGATATTGTTGGATCGTTTTGGTAGGTGTTGCATTTTCTTGTTGTGGTAGTGGGGAGAAAGGGGAGCACCAATTCAATCTATGGTGGTCGTTTTTAGATCTTTTGATCGATCAAAAAAACATTCATCCGAATCTATTGGGCTGGCGTCACGACGATTCCAAAGTGTATTTAAATAACACACCAAAGTGACACCAAACGTTTGATCGTTTGAGCCGTTCTTCTTGATCGTTTGCATTGTGTTTGTGGTTGTCGTTTCAGGTGGTCCACAGAACGGCGTTGTGTTTCTAGCGTTGGTTTTTCAGTGTTTGGGAGACAACTCCTTTTCCGCATTCCTTGATCTCTTTTACTCGTTTCAGCGGAACACCCACAAGCGCCGAAAGCAAGACACCAACTCCATGTGGCATCTCAAAATTTCTTGACTGATTGGCATTCAAAAAGCGGTGAGCGTTTGAGGTTCCCTCAGGTACACATGAGGAGCACCGCTGGCTCTTCCTTCCCTTCCTCTATGTCCAGTCGAGTCTTCGCACGATCGTGGCTCGATGCCTTTCAACATCGGCGCCCGCGGCGTCGGGCCGTTCCAAAGTGAAGGATTATTCCAACCTAGTAGGTTCTTGTTACTAGTAGCATCTAGTAGCTACTTGCTCCTAGTAGTACGGCCAGGAGCCCCATTCGTAGCGTCCTTGCTCCTAGTAGCGATGCCAGGAGCCCCTAGTAGCTTCCAACACTGGACCACTGCCCTATCACGTCGCCCAGACTCTGTCTTTGATCTTCCGGGATGGCATTTGGCAGGCATGTGGAGCCCAACGCCACGCGCCAAAGCAGCGCGAGCTTCTTCATGTTCTCATGGGCCAACCTATCCGAAACAGAACACGTGGCAACACCAACTCGGTGGCCGGCGCAAGGTCACGTGATTGGGGTGCCGGTCACATTCAGTCGGGTTCTTCTTCTCCTATCGATAGAAACGCTACTAGGAACAAGTGCATCGCTAGTAGTAACAAGTGCCTTACTAGTAGTAACAATGTTTGCTATTAGAAACAATAAGCTAATAGCTTCTTGTTCCTACTAAGGCCAGGAGCCCGGTTCGTAGCGTCCTTTGCTCCTAGTAGCGATGCCAGGAGCCCTACTAGCGTCCTTGTTACTACTAGTAAGGCACTTGTTACTAGAAGCGATGCACTTGTTCCTAAGGTCACAGATCATTGTTGTAGATCAGCACTGTTGCAAAGAAGGATCCTGAACATCCCCCCCTTTGGTTTGCAGCGTGCACCCACAGTTGTACGACTCAAGATTAACAAATCGCGGCTGCCGTTGCTTTTGCGGCATGGGTATGCCAATACTTGAAGCCTTCACACCTCCTGGACAAAATCAAGTGAACTTTGCTCTCATTCATGTCTTCTGCTTGACAAGCTGTACCTCCCGTGATGTCGAGCTGATGTGCCTGCGACCTGGGACGGATTCAAAACAAGTGGCCCCGGGCGGCTTGGGCCGAAACCCTGGCGGTTCGAAGTGGTAGGGACGTCCCCTGACCAGCATTCTTGGACCATTGACTTCACCTGACAGCCAGTCATCTTCGAAGCTCAGCGTGTTGATTGCTTTAGTGGATGCAAATATGGCCTTAAGGAACCCTTGTGTATAGTTCCATGTATGCTGCCACATGGGCAAAGCTTAGAGTTGCAATTTAGACGGTTTTGGAGAGCGAGAGTAGTGCCCACGAAGAGTAGTGCGCACGGAGATTCCGAGCTGAAAGAAACGGTCACCCAAGCGAGTCCAAGAGAGATCTATTTGATTCTATTTGCCTATATCAAGACATCTATTTTCTAGCTTTATCTTTCACTGCCGATTGGAGCTTTGCCCTGTATAGATCCAAGCATCACTGTGGTTGGACCCGCGAAACCCCAAAACCTCAGCCCCCGGCGGCGCCGCCCTACATCCTTCAGAGGTACCTGGACTCCTTGTCATTCGCCTGGTGCGTCAGAGACCTCAATGAACCGTCTCCGCTTGGCCGGTGGGCTTGCTGCGAGTGGATTGGACCATGGTGGACCACTAGTGAAGGTTAAAAACAAAAAATCGGATCCAATTCATCTCATGCTGCGGTGGGTGGAAGATGATGGAAGGCAGTTTTTGTTGGCTCAGGAAAGCTGATGTTACTGTTTGGTCACGAAGGGTCGGTGGGTGAAGACTGGATGGATCTCGCTTGTCGCCACGAGTCACCGCAAATCGCCATCGTTCGATCCCCAAACACCGCCAGTTGTGGGCGGGACACCTTTGTTGTCAGTGATCAATCTAGTAGGGTCCGATCGCTCCGTTCGTAGCGATGCCAGACTCAACAACGCACAGCAGAAACAATATATAAAAACTGATTAGGCCTAAAAATGCCTAACACGTGGCCTAACTAAATATACCTAGATTCTGGAACCCTAATGAGGGTTGCCTTTTGAGGTGCATTGTGGTCTTCTTCTCTCTGTGGAAGATATTGGTCGCACAGATTTGTAGCTCTTGGTATGGCCATGTATGGCCTAGGTCTAGGACCATATCAGGCTCAAGACGGTCAAAAGCTCGATTTCATGTGATTTTTGAAAGCTGAGAAATCACAGTCGTCGATGTTTTGCGACAACGCAACCTGGTGAACAAGAATGGATCGAATCTCTTACATATCCAGAACACGAACCAAAATTGCCACACATGCTCTTTTTGACATCCGCAACCCATGAGACACTCTACAGGCATGCGCACAAGTGAGGCGTTTAGATTGCCTTGAAGCCTGATTCTCCTCGTGGTCCCTTCCTTGCCAAGTTTAGAATGCACAACTTGATGGTTGCAGCTCGGCTCTTTTTGAGTCCAATCCCTCACAAATGCATGTTTGAGTCGTATGGCTGGGGCTCCAACATCCATCAGGCAACCTGCAAAGTTGACTGACAAAACCAGCGCACAGGACACCGACACAGCAAAGTGCATGGTGCTCATTTGGAGTATCCCACATCTTTACATGAGACTGCCGCTGCAAAAAGAAAGGGACCTGGGGCACAAGACCGGTGAAAAGCCAAGCAACCCGATGCTTTTTGGCACATTGAGCAGAAAGTCATACCTTTCCCCCCACCGTCTTCCCAAAAACGGAAACGCAAGTCTACTTGCAAATAAACACAAACAGTTTTAGATCGGATCGATTTCACAAAGGTAACTAGTAACAAGTGCCTTACTAATAGTAACAATAAGAATTTAATTAGAATTGTTGTTGACTGTGAAATCGCCCCCGATCACCCACAGATCCGAAAGACCTGAGAGCTCCAGGGTTTTCAACGATGCGAAGAGCTCCAGGGTCTCCTGGGAAAGAGAGTCCAGTCAATAAGAACACCAATCAATCAAGAAAACCGAAACTGTGGAAGCGTCCGAAACCAAGTCGATCGATCGAAGAATGGGTTCTTCTTTGAGAGGGTGTTCCTCTGCTCTCGGCACATGTCAGCACCAGTATTTGAAGATCGAAAATGACATCGCCCACATCTCCAACGCTGATGTCTGTTTCCTGCCACCAAACTGTCACAAGGTTTCTCGATTTTGTGTGCATTTGAGTCTAGATTGATCGTGGAGTACTTTGTGTTCATGCTTTCAATCAGCCGCACAGGACCCCCCTGGCTTTACCAAGTCGGGCATTTCACAGATCCCCATCACGTGCCATGAGCCTCTGGCGAGCCCTTCACCAAAGACCCTCGAGGACGTGGTCATTCTGTAAGCCTTGCTTGTGTCACTGGTCGAATCCCCAAAGAACTGTGGAGGATTGGAACGACTGACTGCCGGGAAGTTCGTGCTCCGAGCAGCAACATTGGATCCCTAGCTGTTGTATGCTCTTTGTGCTAACCTGCTCAGTTTTGCTTGAGCAAGTGTTAGATGCACAACTTGCACTCGGACACTCAGATTCCGGCGCACCGAGTCATACCGGCTGCTCAGCAAATGATCACCTACCAAGCAAAGGCTGATTAGGAGCCAAGGGGGGCCTCTTCGCAGATTCAAAAAGCACGTCACCTTATCGCAAATGCTGTTCCCTGTTTGGCCAACACAGCATCTGACAGCTGTGCTTCGCACACGGTTTCAATGCAGCTCTTTTGTCAGCTGTATCCCGCAGGCTTTCAGGAGACGCGGCTCCCAGCCAAGCAAATGTGCTATAGATCAGTGACAGGGACTAGGTATTTAATATGTATTCCCTGGTCTTTGCCAAAGGAATATGTTGAAATCAACGCGGCAGCCGGCTCACCTAAGGGTCCTGATACTAGTCGGAACCAACAGCTTGGAGGAAAAGAGCATGGAAGGTGAATCGTGTGCACACAGCTGGATTTCTTAAGAAACAAGTGGGGGTGCAAAACTACTACACTTCGAAGGTTGCTGGGGTAGAGATCAAATCCTGTATCTTCTTGACTTTGTTTTTTTCGCACCCGGCGCGATAGCAAGCTTGCCGAGAAGGCTTGTCCTTAGAAGGAACCCTTCTTTAAACATCTTTAAACAAGGAAGAAATCGAGATTTCTCATCGTCTGCACTCACTCCGTACAGTGCAACTGCTGGTCCAGCAGAGACTCAATCTGCTTCTTCGGATTCTTCGTCTTCACTTGAAGTCTTGCATTCACGTTGGGTTTGCTTGAAGCTTCGATGGGATTTTTCCTCTGTCGTCTTCCTCAATCAGGGACGTTGACCCAGCCCTAGGTCCCAACAAAATCCCCAACCCAAAACAAAGCAAGACGATCCTTGGAATTACGTTCCAGCAACTAACCTACAACAAAAGTCCGGTCCACCTGTCCTGAATTTGCTTTCATCTTTGATCCTCTTCTTGAACTTCTCATCTGAGATGGACTTCAACTCTGCGTAGTGACTTTTCATGGCAGGGAGGTGCTTCAACCAGGGGATTCGCCGGTAGATCCAAATCATAACGTTGTTCATGAACCACATGGCCAACGTGAAAAGAACCTGGAACGAACAGGCCATGCGCCGGCGTGTTCGCGCTATCTGCAACGCTTTTGCACTGACAGGTAGTAACTACTTGGCCGCCACTTGGGCGTCAAACAATACGGAAACCACTTGAAAGCATCATTTTTTGGTCCAACCAGATGCGAAAACAATGCTGATGCATTTTGCAAATCTTAAATTGGCAACATGGGAGACTGGGGAGGAACGAACTCGACAGCAGTAGGTACCTTTTGGGAGCTCTTGACGGTTTTGAACCAGCTTGCCTGCAAGATCGCAAACTGCTTGAGGGCATAGAGCCAATCCCAGGATGCAAGTTCTCCGGAAAAGTTTACGAAAATCTTGATGCCGAACTTCCGAATGAAGGTGCGATGTTGGTCTGTTACACCCTCAAGATCCGATTCGGAGGCATAGTCGTTCATTTTGCGGAAGGTGTATGTGTATCGCTTCGTGAACCCTCTCCACTGTGGCGGCCAAACCTGGGCTTGCTGCGCGTTCTCGTATTTGATATCTATAGCTAACGAGACCCCCAGCAAGCGCTGGGAAAACATCGGCAATTTCAACTCATCATCTTCAATGGCTTCACTAGGTAACGGAAGGCGGGAGTCCAGCGAAATATTGGATGCGTTCATCACCAAGTCCAGTGACAAATAGTCAGCGAAGCGAGTGCTCCAACATTCAGACATGTTGCATGAGTCAAAATCGCTTGCCATGTCTTTCGATGCACAGCTGCCTTTGTCGGCACAGTGAAGTTGCATCTTCTTGCCCTTCACCATGACAAAGCCCGTTGAGAACGCGTTGGATGCTGGCTCATCCTTGGCAACCACATCGTGACGTATCTTCAGGAAGAAGCGCTCCACATCCTGAACCACATCCACTTGCAAACCCTGATTACGCCAAAGGCAACCCTCAGTGTCTGGGTTTGCACAGCGATCTTGCAAAGTAATCATGCGTGCTGTCATCACTAGTGGCTTACCCTCCTCTTCCAGCACCTCGTGAACATCGAATTGTCTACACTCAGCCGAGACTTCAGGGACACCATTTGGCCAGCGGGCTTGAATGAAAGAGGCATCTGAGAAGAAGTTTTGATGGATCTCATCCGTCATCTGGTCTAGTGCATCTCGTGTGCAGTAAGTGAGGTTCTTTGCGGACCGGGGTTCCTCGGCACAATCATAATCGTAGTCATAGCACCATGTCTCTGCACGAGCCCAGGGTGGTGCCAGTTGCAAAAACGAATTAGACATAGAAATTGGATTGAAGTCCCAGAGCTGCAAAGTACAATACAACCAAATGATTATAGCCACAAGGCCAAAGGCAAACACACCCAGGTAGCAAAGTTGTAATCGTGGTGCCTTGATCTTGGCCACTTGTGGCACGGTGTAGGTCTCTACATAGTCTTCCCACAGAACTTCCCACCATCGAGTGGATTTGTCTGTTTTGTCTGACTCTGAATCCACTGAATCTTGTTGGCTTATCGATTTTATCGATCTCGATAAATCTCTGCTGGCACATCGCGACATGGCGCGCTGAGAATTGTGTCTAGCCAGTCAATCCATGTTGGGAATCTCTTGGCATCCTGATGCATTTAGGTACAGCTCCGGTCAACGTGTGGTCAACCCGTGCTCATGACCATGAGAAGCGCCTGCTTGACATTTACAATGGCCAACCCCTGCGGAAGATTCGACAAACTCCCCGAGATCAAAACCCCGGAGGCTGGTCGAACAAAAAGGATTCGGTGGTGCCTGTGGTGGCCTAAAGAAGAAAAGAAGAAGAAGAAGAAGAAACACTAAGAAGTATAGAATGACAAAATGCAAGTATATATATAGCTCTTTCATCATGTTCACTCCTTATCTACTGGATCTCCTGTGGGGGAACATGGCCGTCTTGATTGGCAGGTGCTTTACGTGCCCACCGACCCGTGCAGCGCCTGGAATCCAGCGCCAAGATCACATGCGAACGAGCCAACAGGTGTGCCAGGAAAACACACCGCACGAGCTCCAGTCGAAGGAAACATGAGAAGCACAGGAAGTTTGTGTAACATGTCATGATACTATGTGACGATGTAAATCCTTGCACCTGTCCTTTTCGCGCACCTTCGGGATGAAACATGATGAAACCGGAACCGTTGGCCGTTGGCAGTTTCAGTCTTAGGATAGCATGATGCACGTGTTGGGTAGTTGTGTGGCTTGCCAGACAGGCTGAACTGCTGCTTCGGATCAAGTGGTGCGAAAGAGAGAACCAAATGGACCGCTTCAAAGCCATGGATGAACCCCCAACGTGACTCATGGAAATGGTCGAACTCACCGCTGCCTCGATAGCAACAGGAGCGAATGGCAACAGGAGCTTGGCGTCAGAAGTTAGGCCACAGCCCAGACCCATTCCGAGGAGATAAATATAACTTTTTTTCAAACTTGGATGAGCGCAGGCCACTGTATTGCCATGGTGTTGACTCACGCTATCTGATGCAAAGCAATCTGTCGGGAATTTTAAAAGGCAAGCTGCAAATCGAGTGATCTTGCATGGGAACGCTTTGGCCCATTGTACAATCGGGTGGGAAATTATTGTCCCTCTGCCGCTGTCCACAAATTTGGCTCTCTTCTTCTGTTCTTTGTTCTGCGCGCTCACTTGCCTCCTCTCTTCTGGGCTTGGGCAGAGAGCTCCGTCATAGGATTTGAGGTTGTACTTCTGGATGCATGCTCTTCACACACATTGCTGCTACGGTCAGGAGCACAATTGGAATCTCGCAGCAAATTCAAAGCATCTGGAAGTCACTCGATATCACTCCCTTGCTTTGATGGTTCAAATGGATGCATCGTTCCAACCAATGGCGCCCAATCCCCTATGTCACTCTTGAGGCAGGCGAGTTTGTCCAGGAAGGGGCCAGATACCTCTGGGCTGCAACGAGATCGAATCTGCGCAAGCAGCTTGTCCAGAATCCTGAGACATACAGGTCTAAAGAAGAAAACAATGTAGGACGAGTAAGTCCAGCTTATCACTTAAACCATCTTAAACCGTACAGTGCCAAAAACCATGTGCATCAGCTGAACCCAGAACAACTGGGGAAACAATACAACATAATACAACACTTCCTCTTTCTTCTCAGAAGTCGGCTGCCCAACGATGTTCAAGTCCATGTCATGTGCTGGAAGCGCTTCCAGCAACTCACACACAGATTCAAGAAGGTGCTCGACAAACCTCTCACATGAAGTTAAATAAAGGTGCCACATCTCCTGCTGTTTCTCCACTTCTTCTGTCTGCTCTTTGGTGTTGAAAATGGCAAGGTGAGAGTTCCAGTCTGGCTGGTCCTGCACGTGCACGTCCACAAAAAGCCCTACAGTGTCCAGAAGCATGTCCATCGTGCTCACATCGAGTTTTCCTTTGCTTTCACCAGCTATTGGAACAAATGACGCGACAACACACAAGTACCAGATTTGCACCACTAGGGGCACTTCCGGAGTCTTCGGATCTTGTTGCTTTAAACATGCGTTGCAAAAGCTTGCACGAGAAACCAGCACTTGCGCATCTTTGCCCTCAAGGAAGCGCAACAAAATATCCACAGAGACGTCGTAGACCAAGGCCAGAATAAGATCGGGGAAAAGCCTTCGAAAAATCGTGACTGTGTGTCGTGCTTCTCGCAGCATTCGGCTCCTTACTAACGCCTCCGTGCGAAGTGCAAAAAGGCTTGCCAGAATGCCTCCCTGTACCTCAGTGGCTACTCCCCACAGGCTCCGTCTGGTGTCAAAAACGGGACTCCTGAAAACTGAGCCGGTTCACGACAAGAACACGTCAAAAGAAACAAAACAAACTCAATGCACTTAGGTCCACCGCATCAGTTCGCACGTTCTCCTCCACATATGCAGACGTTTGATCCACGATGCTCAGCCAGTCACGCTGAACGATCTTGAGACTGCACGAGGAGAGGTCTCTGTAGGCCCGCTCACCCAAGGCTTCAGCCTCCAAAAACTCCTCAATGTCACGACAACAGAAGTACAGCTTGGCTTTCACCTTCTCCAAGAGGCTCAAATCAGGAAACAAGCTCCTTAAGACCTCTGTGGAAGCTCCATTGCTCAAAAGGAGCTCACTGAACTTGTAGCGAAATCGAGCGGCGTTGGAGAGAAGCTGAGACTTCCCACGAGCAGAGGCTACCTGGGATAGGATCCCCCAATGATTTGTGCGCTGAATCTCAGCAACGACCTCTTTGTTGGCAGTGTCACGAGTCCAAAAGGGATGGGCTTCCAGTGCATATTTGGCACCGAACCCCAGCAATGCGATTCCCGCGACGGCGGCTCCAACAACGCCTCCGAGGAGTAGTGGACTTGCCTTGGATTCAACGAGGGCGGCGTCGGCCAAACCGGGGAAGAAACGTACTACTTGTGACACCCTGAACGCTGAACAGCAAAGCATTCCTGCTTGCGCAAGGCAAATCAAGGGCAAGTTGCTGTCAAACCCAATGAACCCAGGGCCGCGACACCGGCTTGCGTTGCGGCGAGTGGACCCATTGACAAAGCCGTGACCTGATTGTCACACTTTGACTGTAATCATCAAATTGATATTAATGAATTATATCCAACCAGTAGGAGGACCATGCACATGCGTTTCCAGCAAGAACTCAACCGATCTGACCTCCCAAGCGGGAAAACATACTTGCACAAAGCACAACTCGACAAGTGACTGTCAGCATTGCCACGGACTCCACTGGATACCTTCCTCGCAAATGATCAGTTCCAGGAGTCATCACTTCCTAGTTTGGACGCAGGGCGGGCAGCTGCTTAGATTGACCAGCAATGGGCCATGAGTGGTTGGGTCCCAACAATGGTGGTTTCCCTGCCTGGTCTGGTTGCCTACCAAACGTCTCCCAATTAAGTAGTTGCCGGTGTTGTTCCAAGTGTTTGGCAGTAACCTGACTAGTAGATGGTGAGAAAAATCTTGCTTTGGACGTTCTAGCAAGCAATCAATACATGGGCGAACACATTGGACAACCTGGTGCCAACACCCCCGAGCCCGAACAATTACCATTATTCTATAGTTTTCTGCGTCCTGTTTCGAACGGCTCGTGTATATTTGCTGTCTGGATCTCAGAGGCTTCTCCTGAGTGAACTCCAGTGCTACCAAGTCTCACTGTGACTTGTGGTGCCCCCAGCCCGTGAAGCATCGAGCCCAGCTTCCTTCAGCAAACGCATGGCCACCTTGAAAGTCTTCTCTTGGGCACGCATCATTGCGCTGTCCAACCTGGAGTAGTTGCAGCCACAGCACGCAGGAAGAAACACATGGGTTTAGTTTTTCAGAAATGCAGCTCCAATGTTTCATCCTAGTCTGTTCCAATGTTCAGCCGAGTACCTAGTGGCAGTGTAACAACAAACCATCCGTGACGAAAACCAATGAAAACATGTTGCAGGGTACAGTAGCACTTGTGTGGCATATGCAAGCTGACACTCCAGTGTTACAAACATGTTGGGACGCAGTCTTAGCTTCTTGCACGAGGTGGGCAGTGCAACCGTGTGATATGTCCAAAAACCTGCAGCTAGTCGTGGATCTCATGCGTGCTGTGAGACGGAAGTTCGTGTTCTCTGAGTTCATCTTCCTGCCTTGTCTGCATCTCCGTTTCAATCTTTGGGACTAGCTTTGAGAGGAGCTTCTCAATGTATTTGTGCCGAATCCACTTGCCTGGGCCGCCCTCCTCATTCACCTCGTCACCTGGGGCACACACCGAGCAACCCGGAATATGGCAAGAACGTGCAATCATTTTCACTCGGATCAAGCGACAGGAACATGCAACAGTCAGCTAGATTTGCATCCGTGTCTCTTTCAGCTTGCTATTTTTGTGATACATCTTAAGTGGTGGGGTTGATGATGCTTGAGACCACAGGCCTGTTCTCTTGCAAAGCTCTTGCAGGATATCTGTGCGAACGGTCTCAATTTCCTGCCGAACTTCACGCTCCAAATCAGCCGCCGCATCTTCCACAGCTGCCTGCATCTCCTGAGCGTAGTAATCACTGGCAGCAACACTTCCTTGCAGGGTCGAGATCTTGCAATTGCTTGGCCGGGGTTGGCAAGGTGCCACATGCAAAACAGCACGCCGATACGGAACAATGCATAGTGGCCTAAAATGTCCTAACGTAAATGCGGCACCACTGTCACTATTTATAAGCATAATATATGATGAGTTTAGAAAAGGAGCTACAGGGCTATGCCGCAGCATGCTACGACCGCCAAGAGGCCAGGCTCTAATTCTTCGCTTTGCCCTGTCAGTGGTCAGTAAATGTCAGCAATTTATAGTTCCAACATGTTCCAGCTGCGGAGGAAGAAAAAAACAGCTGCAACTAAGGACACTACTAGTAGCTCCTGGCCTTACTACTAGGAACAAGAAGTTACTAGTAACAAAGGGCATCGCTACTAGGAGCAAGGACGCGCGCTGCCCCCCCAGTCAACAAATTTCTCGGCTTCTTGGCATGAGCGAACGAACCAAAACGAGTTAGCCTAGTTGAGAGCTGTACTTACTCCCTTGGTTCACAGTTTTTCGTCCGCCATGGCCCTATCTTGCCTAAGTTTCACATCGGTCCCTCTTGGACTTTGAAAGTTAGGGCCCGGGCTTGTTCAACCACCTCCTCTCCGTGGTTTCTTCCGTTTGTCCGCTCCTTGGGAGGAGTTCAACCGCTTCCGGTACTCGTCCGTGAGCTCTGCCATTCGGTGCATGGCGGTCCGCGACTGGCTGCCGAGCACCATTTGCTCTTGCTGTTGAAGCATGAAGATTTCCTCGCCAAAACACTGAAAGATCCCACACTGAAGCATGAAGGTTGGAAAGGGAACTGCTTAAGATCTGATTCCCTGAATGCCTGGCCATCCCAAATGGTTGAAAGAAGGTGCTCCGCAAAATGGCTTAATTGGCGGCTAGCCGGTTAACTTTGGAAGGCCTTAGGGCCTTGGGGGAGATCTCATGCTTGTTACACACGGTGGGGCCAGAATGTCAAGGTGAATGGTTTTTTTCATCCCACGTAGCTGCGCATGTGCCCTGCTGCTCTGCTGGTTGTTTGCAATTCCTCAGTTTGTTCCAACATCATGGACCGTGTGCTATATTTTGCCTGAAGCACCCCTAGCTTGTCGTGGACATTAAATACCAACATGATCACGTGCTGCTCATTGATCAGCAAATCCGTCCTTCACGTAGTTTTGGATGTCTCTAAGCCAGCTCTGGGCCTCATCCAAGGGCAAATGCTTTTGGAGAACTTCATTGGCCTCGTCATCTGGATCTTGGAGTAGCCCACCAGCATGCACAAAGACGCGCGCCAAGGAGCTCCCAATCTCGCGCCGGAACTGGCTCACCAAACCATCGGCTGCTTGCCGTTTGGTCATGCCCTTGAATTTCTTTCCGGGCTTCAAGGTCATTGCCAAATCATAGCGTGTGAGAACCCAGAAGGTCTTGCTGTAGGAGTTGAGTTCCAGCATCTTTTGTGTGCGTTCTGGCACCGCTGTACCTTCAGTCAAAGGGCACACCATGCACGCAATGTGCGAATGGTCTTGCAGAAACCTCTGCACAAGTCTTCGATATTCCTCGCTTTCAGTAAACCCAGGAGTGTCGACCAGGCTGTAATGGCAACCAAATGGGTTGAATACGTCCAAGGGAACTTGGATGCAAATCTCTCCATGTCCCGAAGGATTGGCCTCCCTTGCAAACTTCTCCTCCAAGAAGTGAGCCATGTCAGTCCGTAGCACTTCTGGGTGTAGGTCGTCCAAAAGCCACTCTTTCTGCAGTACGTCATTCCAAAATACACACCCACGTCGTTCCGGGCTCGACTCGACCTTCCAAATGCAGTTGGTAGCAGCCTTGTTATCCACCGGAAGCAGCATCTCAAAGTTGGGCAAGGAGGAGGAAAGGAGCAGGTTGATGAGGGAGCTTTTCCCTGCCTTCAAAGGCCCAATGAAAATAATTCTCAGCTTCTCTTTGGTCTCAATTCTTTGGACCAATGATTCAATGCCATGGACATGGCGGCCCAGGTCCAACAAACTGTTGGAAGCCTGGAGTTCCTTAAGTTCCTTGCAGTCGTCAGCCAAGTCTGGGGCCTCTTTGGCCAAGGCATCAAATCGGCGCCGGGTGAATTCCCTCACGCAGGTGCAACTGACCTTGGTGGCTCTGAGATGCCGGAGGCGCCCTCCGACCACCACACCCCCGACCTGTGGTGTGAATTAGCTTTGAGAATATTCTACGATATTCTACGCACCTGACAGTATCCAGTCATGTAGGACCCATGGTGCATATATGTGTCAGCCTCTTTCATACGTTTCATATGGCGAGCGTTCAACTGCACAGCAGTGTAGAAGCAAAGCAACCAAGGCCCGGACTCTGAGCATTTCTTGCAGCTGAGCAAATCGTCTGAAATCAGCCATGCGAGGTTCCTGTACTTTCTTTGCAGGCATGTACCTTGTGATCTGCTCCCATCCAGCACCTGCCACTCTTGGGTACGGACAGCTCAGTCATGAGTTTTCCTTTCTCTAACTCCACAAGCGACAAATAAGAACGGATATATTATATATAGTGAATATTTACAGTAAGTGCATTGTAAAATACTGTTGCGCGCGCACTGTGTCACTATGTCCTGTGTGCATGTCTCCCATGCCAGTCTTTAGTGCTGCAGAACCGGGACCGGTCAAAGCAAGGCTTGGACAAGAATCACCTCCAGCACGTTCTTCCAAATGAGGTCCACAGCGACGATCTTCCAGGTCACGGGATGAGGGACTAATAATTGGGCCTCAAAAGCTTCGCTGAAAGAGTAGTACATCGCAATTCAATGTGCACGGCCTGTTTCCCTCTCAATGTGAACAAACTGCATTTTTCCCTCGCTTATATCTCTATGCCTCAGGCCCCTGGAAACTCCACTGGAAACATCATCTATATAGTCTTACAAAGTGCCGTCTGTGATGTGCAATTGCTGGGAACTTTTGCTAGGGTTGTTCAGTTGTTCGACTCAACCCCCTACCCTAGCATTCAGCTAAGTTGTAAGCTTGCCGGTTCTAACTATGATTAGGTCGCTTAGCCTTGGTCTCTGCTACTTTGGGCTACTACATCAGATTAGTGCTTTCTTTTTTGTTTATCGTCATAATACTTGAGTTCCATGATGGAATACAACATAAATTGCACCCATAATTTGTGTTGACTCCTTCCGGCTTCTCTTGGGTTACAAGGGGGGTTTTGATGGACTTGGGTTTGAAAGAGACCGGACCGGGTTCCAACAAGCCAAGGTCCTAAAGCGAGTTTGAAAGCGTGGAATTCTAGGGTGGGTAGGGTGCTCGACCTTACATGAGGCTGTGCGAAATTCTACATGGGTGTCATGCACCAAGGAACTGGGAACCAAACAACTTTGGCATCAACTGCTCCAAGGATCCTGGGGCATCACTGATTCCTTTCTGTTTGATCGCCTGGTGCTGAGGTTGCTCCAGCTCGCGGATCTTGGACCTCACATCGTCGGGAACAAGCGAACCGTGACGAGCCCCAAAACGGGGGGCATCATGCTCCTACATAGGCCTAAGACTGATATAGACAATTGGGGAGATGTGCTTCTTCAGTGGGTCCACACCCGCCTGAGTGATGAGATTTTCCTAAAGAAGAACTGCTAGGACCACCTGGTGGAAATCTTTTTGTGCTGGGTGGCAAGTCAAATTATCAATTGAGCAAGCATTTCCATCCCCATCGTGGTGTCTTCATGGTAGGTTTGTGCTATACTCTGAAGAGCCCGTCTCTGTCCCAGCTATAAAGGGTTCTTGCCTGTTGCAACACGAAGCAAGTCATGGTCGTATTATTGGTCCGAGCAGCATCTGCACAATGCTTACCTTCTCGTCCTCCAGGCTCAACTCCTGCACGTACCAGCTTACGCCGACCCTTCGACCGTTCGACCAAGAAACGTAAGCGTCCACGGTGGGGAAAAAGGCATCGCCAAATATATCATGCATGGCCCCAAACAATTTGCATGTCCAGGGTCTACTCTTAATTAATCTGTGAACTGTGAACTGTAAAACATGGGGATCATGAGAGCCTGGATTGAGTTGGCGAAATGCTCTCGTGTTTGACTGGCGCTACAAGTTTGCTCACCATAGTCTGCCATACGACAAGGAGTTTTTGCACTTGACTGGCTTCGATTCATCTTGAAATGCAGTCCCAGCGTCCTGAGTTTCAAAGGCATCTCTGGCTTTCTTGGAAACCGGGGAGCGGCACTTTAGCAAAAACGCATCGAACAATGATCTCTCCAACGCTGAAGGGGAAACAGTTGTTGAATTCTCCAACACCTGTCCAATGGTCGCTGCCGGCACATCACCTACAACAGTCATGGCTTGGCACAAATACGCCAGTGCTGCACACATGCGCCACTCTATAAATTCGCAGTCTCTGGATCTCTTTGGCAGTCGCGATGCTAGTCGCTTCACAGCCTTCACCATGGAAGAATCGTCCCACTGCGTCCAATCTTGACAAAGTAAGATCTGTAGGCCTTTGGTTTGCTGTACCCAGTGATCATCACAAAGGTCCCTGCCCCAAGAAACCATTCGCAACTGCCACTCCTTGAGATCTTCACCATTCTTCTTGAGCCAATCCAGCACAAGTGGTCTGACCCCGCGGACATTCAACAGCAAAGTTGGTGGTAGCTCATCAGCACTAATGAAGCGGACAAGGTGAACAACCTGCCGCAATCCTGGAGGAACAAGGAGAGGTGACTGCTCCTGTGGCTTCTGGGCAAAAATCCAAGAAAATGACTTCTGCTTCCTATCCTGTACGAACTGATCAAACAGCTTTGCGATGTGGGCTCGCTTCTGCCGGGACAGCAGGTCTCGAACCAGCAGTACGACAATAGCACTGCTTTTGGCAACCAGCACGCGGCAATCCATTTTGAGTGCGATGCAGCCCTCATAAATCCAGCTGGCCAGTCTCTGAGCCTCGGACTCGGGTAAGGAAGGAGTGTTGCAGGAAAACCAGTGTTCCTCGCGATATCGATACCTACTGCCAGTACTAGTAGTACGGCTTTCATCGGACATGTCCAGCTGCCCCTCCACCACTCGGCCTTCTTCCTCTTCTTGCTGCAAATCATCGGAAGGCTGTTCAAGCTCTTCCTCTCGCAGCGTTTGCGTGCTCTGTGTCGAAGGGAGATCATGTTTGCCTGCTCTTCGCTGTGCATCTTCACAAAGTTGCTTCAGCTCTTCCTCGGGCACTTGTGGTGTGCCGTCTTTGTAGTATCTTCCGCACCCGTCAAGCATTCTGCGGACGGCGAATGTATCAAACCCTCCGATTTGCTTGCACGCTTCAAAGACCTGCCTCAGAAATGTTTGGGGGAGATGGCGCATCTGTTGAAACTCTGCTACCGCAGACTCGTCACACTTGAGTGGCGTGCTATTGAAACATAGCAGCACTGCTTCCAAAGATGACAGCGTCAAGAGCTGTAGCCAGCCTTCAAAAGTGGCCCATTGGTCGAACTTAAATGCCTTCACAATGTCAAAGACCCGTGCCCTTACCTCAACATATGCTTGACCCCTGTCACGTATTGCATCATGGGCCAGTCGTTGCACGGGCAGCTTGAACAAACCCGCAGAGTCCATGACTGAGAGATCCTGTTCGAGCACATGCAACCCTCTCACCGGCTCTCCACTTTGAAAAAGATAGATCATGTGACAGCTGGATCTGCCTCTAGGCTGAGGAAGGCACAGAAAGTATGGCTCTAGGTCTCCAAGAGTCACAGAGCTGGCCTCATGGGCCAACCTGCTCAGCAAATCACTCACAAATTCAAACTGAAACTCCAAGAGGAAGCAAAGGCTCTCCGCAAAAAGGCAAGTGTCTTCCATGACCTCGTCTAAAGGACAGGCCTGGCAGAAGACCTCAGCTTCGCGGGAAAGCTGAAATCGCTTCAATTTGCAGGTGTTCTAAGTAAGTTAACTTCTGAAGTGTCAGGATGTCAAATGAAAAACACTCACAAAAACCAAACCACCCCAAACTTGACTCTGCAATAGCTCGGCCAAAGCACAAACAAGTGCTTGTGCGGATCTAACGACGGAGGCCAGCCAGCCTCAGTAATGTATTGCCTGCTGATTGCATCGTCATCGTCGATCACATAGCTGCCACACGCCGCACTGATCACTAAAATGTGTATAGGCTTGGATTGACAAGCAGCAACTGTGCCAACAACCATCTTTTCGAGAATGACCAGCTCTTCAGGTTGCTGTTGACCTTTGGGCAGTATAACTGTGAACTGCAGGTCCAAAGCCGTGTCTCGAAACCCATGCCCTCCGTAATACACAAGCAGCTTGCTTTTGCCTCCCTCTTCCAACTTCTGCACCGCATCTGCGAGTGCCTTCTGAATATCACCTTTGCTACGTCGTAAACGCTCGTCGTCCAGCACCACGATGGGATCGTGGCAAAACCGACACGTCCGCACCGTGTCAGCCAAGCGTTTGGCATCTTCCACCGGAGTCTTGGAGAAAGGGTCCGACTCTGCCAGCCCGACGCCTAAGCCGATGATCACTGCTTCCCATTCGCCTGGGTGACGGTGATCCTCTGTGCTCCCGATAAGGTCTGCCATGGCCAAGACAAATGTCCAATGGTGTGGTGTCTCTGCTTTTTTGCGAATGTGTCTCTCATTTCCTGCAACGGAAACATTGTTATATAATTGGTGGAGAACAACTTTTTACAGGCAACTTTGGCAACCTCATCTACGATTCATTCTCATTTCTTTTTGTAAGGCTGCCAGGCTGCTACCTGTACACGACAATGTTGAACAGGCAATCTGGGACTGTGCACGAAGCAAAGCACCTTGATGCTCACTTGGGTGGCCAGTTTCATGCATCGATCGAGACACTTCCAATTGGACAGACCCGTTTGAATGCCATCATGCGATGCATCCTGAGTCTCAGGAGTTGCTCTCGTGCAAGAGCAGTAGTATGACATAGTAGATTGAATAATATAGATTCGATTCAGTTGCTGGTCCCAGAATGAACCCTCATGTTGGTTCCATAGATCATAGATTCGTTACTAGATTCGTTATAGATCCCATTCCCATTCCTCCACGGCGAGACAACCGGCTCACTACCACCCAAGTGTAAATGTGCATGCTCTACGGATCTCAACGGCTACTTTTTCGGCTAGAATGCATGAGAAATCATGAGAATGCAATTGTCAAATCCCTTTGGGACTGTGAGTTTGGGACCCTCACATTGCTGGTGGCGCAGCTTCGGACGCAGCCATCGGGGCCTTGCAGGCTTTGGGTCGCCCGCCCGCATTGTTGCCAGCTAAGATTTCAGCATAGCTCTGCCCTGGAGAAGCCGACCCGACACATCCAGTCCACTCCGCGCACCTCCTCTTCAAAAGTTAAACTCTGCTATGAACCCCCCGACGCAAATCTGCAAGCAGCTCCAAAGCTTGTTCATCAGGAATGCCGCGTCGGCTCATCAGCGGCATAAATTCTTGCACTGGATTTCCCTCTCTTGTCATTTTTTGTGTGGGCCACTGAAGCGGATGTTGCATCTTCGGATCTCAGCTCAATTGCCTCGCACGATCGAGCTGCGAAACCATTGTGCAGCTGTGCATCCGATGCCCCTCGATGTACGTAGCCCGCTTGCTGCAAAACGTCTCGGAGCACATCGTTCCGTCTTTCACCATCTTTCACCTTGGAGAACATGAAACAAGGTGCTCAAAACCACGTTAGGGAGCACCAAAAGCAAAAATCTGGCCGGGCGAGCCTCCTGAAGACTTTGGAACCTAGTTTGGCCAATGCTAGGAGACCAAGCACCGGTGTGAACGCTAGAAAGAACGCAGCCAAGTATGTGGCTTCCTCCCCTTTCCCGAACCAACTCCTCAAGTCAATCACCGCTCAGGGGAAAGATCTGGCAAACCTTTCATATGTCTTTGACACAACGATGTTATCTCTCCTAAAGTAAATATGGTACCGGTGGGGACGAGATGCTCGGGTCCATGACTTCTAGGATGAACGCGTGTTCACTGAAGACCTGACTACACCTGACTACTGGTCCCAGATTGATGGCATTTTCTTAAACAATTAGCATGAAAACGGACGGCTCCCCTACCAGCAACTACATAATCTTCAGTTGCAACTTCTTTTAACAACGGTTCATCAGCCCACAAATCAATGTCTATATGAAGCATCTGTCCAAACGTATCCCACATGAATTGTTCGGTCATGTTCTGGTCCGACGTCATCTGGGTGGATTGATTTGGACCAAGGGGAATTCCCTACCGATTCTGTGGATATGATGACACCCACAAAGACCAAACGATTTAAAAGCAATTCAGGGTGACTCTCAAGTTGCTCATTGTTTTTTTTTCAGATTGTAGTATGCCACTTGTGGGGTGGAATTCACCAGTGACAAATTCAAGTCTGGATGTTGAAGCCCTTGACCGCTGATTGACCAGGAGTGGCCTTACCCAAAGCGAAATCAGCCGTGCAAACACCCCTTGCTCTTCTTGCACATGCTCTTGATCTGCTGGACCGCAAAATGTGGAAACATGGTCATCGACAAAGACTCAAAGACTTTCACAACTTGCACCCGTGCATTCCACCATCGAGGTTCCAAACAGTTTCGGACAAGTCGGCTGGTCGCCCTTAGGGAGACGCGAGGAGAGAACTTGCGGTTCTGGAAGGAAAGTGAAGTAGTCCAAGATTCGACAGTGGGGTCAGACTGTTCCACACCGTCAAAGTCAGGAGCACCAGCCCAGGCTGTCTGGATCCGTTCGGAATCGGTGGGCGGAACTCCTCTGAACCACGGGATTGTGAGGCTCCTGCTTGGACGAAAGTCGCATTGAACTCCAATCAAGAGCTCTCGCATCGAGGATGTTGGGCGATGGAGCTTGTAGAGCCTCCTTGTTCTGAGGCTGGTCACTGGAGGTAGCAGCCTCTTCCTCTTCCCAAACCTTCAGGCATTGATGGATTCCTCCGAGAGAAGCTTGCCCCCAGATAAACCTCAGACGACTACCCAGGAGTTGCTTGATGCCACGTCCTCCTCTTCAGAAAAGTAACGATCTGCTAAGAACCCCATCCCATGCATGCTCTCAAACAGCTCCAAAGCTTGTTGATCAGGAATGCCGTGGCGGCTCATCAGCACCATAAACTCTTGCTCTGCAGCTCCCTCTCTGGTCATTTCTGTGTGGACCACTGAAGTGGATATTGCATCTTCGGATCTCACTTCGCTTGTCTCGAGGTTCGCAATCATTGAACTCATGGGCCCTTCTAACATACGACGATCGGCCTGCGAAACCACTGTGTGTGCGGTGCGGCTGTGCATCAAATGATGGCCCTCAATGTAGCGTGCTTGTTGCAGAACGTCTCGGAGCACCTTGGCCCGTCTTTCACCTTAGAAAACAAGGGGTACAAAATCACGTCAGGAAGCACCACAAAAGCACCAAAATCTGGCACGGCAAACCTCCTGAAGACTTAGAATTGGCCAATGCTACGAGACCAAACGCCGGTGTGAACAAAGAAAGACGCAATTTGATAGAAAGAACGCAGCCAAGTATGTGGCTTCCTTCCTTTCCATATATCTAGAAACAACAACGTTGCCTCTCCTAAATATGTTGGCAAGTCACCAACCATTGCCGGGGAGATGCTTGGTTTGATGACTTCTAATGGGATGAAAACGCTTTCACTGAAGACTTGACTACACCTCACTACTGATCCCAGATTGTCGGTACTTTCACAACAAATAGCATGAAAATAAAAACAAATTGTCCTGTCTCCAGTGGTCCATCATCATCCAGCAGGTTGAGATTTTGCACCAACGGAATTTCATTGACTACTGTGTGGGTATGAATGACACCAACAAAAACCAAACGCTTAGAAGGCAACTCAGGGTGACTCAAGTTGATCATTGCTCCCCTCAGACTGATGTATGCCGCCTGTGGAGTGACATCTTCTCCAGTGACCCCTGCAAGTCCGGATGTTTCAGCCCTCCACGGCTGATTGACCAGGAGTGGCCTCACCCAAAGCAACATCTGCCGCGCAAATGCCTCTTGCTCTTCTTCGTGCCCTCCAACATCTGGACCACAGAATGCGGCAACGTGTTGATCGACAAAGCTTTTCGCAAGTTGCACCTGTGCATTCCACCATTGAGTTTCGACACATGTTCGGACATGTCGGCTGGCCGCCCTTAGAGAGCAAAGAACTTGCGGGTCGGAGGGCAAAAAGAGAAGTAGTTTCCGCCAGGATTCACGACGGGGGTCAAACTGTTCCACACCGTGCAAGTCAAGAGGAGCAGCCCACGCTGTCTGTGCATCTCGGTCCATGGTGTCGGACTCGTTCGGAACTGCAGGGCTGAACTCCTCTGAACCACGGGGTTGTGAAGGTCCCTCTTCGACGAAACGCGCATCGAACTGCATCATCATTGAGAGCTCTTGCGTCGGGGGTGTTGGCCGACGACGCCCGTGGGGTCTCCTCCTCCTCCTCCTGAGGCTGGAGTCAGTGGAGCAGCTTGCTTCCTCTTCGTCATGAAAGTCAAGCAAATCTTCAGGCATTGATGGATTCCTCCGAGAGAAGCTTGCCCCCAGATAAAACTCAGACTCCCCCGGAGTTGCTTGATGCCTTCTGTCCTCGTCTCCGCTCACGTCCTCCTCTTCAGAAAAGTAACGATCTGCTATGAACCCCCCCCCGACGCAAATCTGCAAACAGCTCCAAAGCTTGTTCATCAGGAATGCCGTGGCGGCTCATCAGCACCATAAACTCTTGCACAGGATTTCCCTCTCTGGTCATTTCTGTGTGGGCCACTGCAGCGGATGTTGCATCTTCGGATCTCACTTCGCTTGTCTCGAGGTTCGCAATCATTGAACTCATGGGCCCTTCTAACATACGACGATCGGCCTGCGAAACCACTGTGTGTGCGGTGCGGCTGTGCATCAAATGATGGCCCTCAATGTAGCGTGCTTGTTGCAGAACGTCTCGGAGCACCTCGTCCCGTCTTTCACCTTAGAAAACAAGGGGTACAAAATCACATCAGGAAGCACCACAAAAGCACCAAAATCTGGCAGGGCAAACGAGGGGTGTGAAGCGAAAAGAATATCGGCATCATTTGGAATCCGCCATCATCTTCCTCTTTACCAAACATCGGTGAAACTATCATTCAGGGGAGCGCGTAAGCCTACAGGTGTGCCATGTGGTGAAGTCTGTTGCAGGATGAATGTCTGAAGGGGTGATGACGTTGGTGTTTCTCAGGGCACGCCAGTGATAAGAATGTTGACGACTTGATAGTGTGATATGGCCTGATATGGTGACTGGAATGGCGGTCATCGGTGGCAAACGAAAACGGTTCCCACTTCACCCAACCACCGGACCACCCTACACTTCACTGCCGGCGGCTACGTGCCAGTTCAAAAATGGCAGCCGGCAGTTCGCCAGTAACAACATACCGACTTCACTACAAGGCAAAACCCATCACCACCATCCCATTTCCCCCTGGCAAGAACGACCTCCTCACCAAGCGAATGCACATTGTCTGTCCACCAGCACAATTGGCCAACTCCCTTGTCGATTAGAATGTACCAGCTCACCACCGGCAAAAACACAACACTCACCCGTAGAGAGAAATCATGCCACCACCAGGTTGCACAAACGCCGACGACGACAACAACGACAACAACATTGTAGAAGCTTGCCACTTCACCACACCACTCCACCGACACCAAGTATGATAATACATAATGCCAAAAAACACAATATTATATACCACATCAACAGTGCAGAAAACTCAACGCACCAATGGCAACTTGCAGCTCACCAATGGCGCGGTGTCAGAACAAACTTCCTGAAGAGGCGTCGCAAAGCTACGCACAATTACATCTATTTCAGCAACACCCCGACAAACTTGCGGGAAAAAAACACTTCTGCAATTGAATTCATGTCTTTTCACAACGGCGCATAAGCCAACAAATCCTTTTTTTCCCTCCTGAGAGACCCCCAAGAAACTGCTCTGGCAATAGTTATGCAGGTTGATTTGTTTTTTTGACTAACTGTCTGGGTATGAATGACACCAACAAAAACCAAACGCTTAGAAGGCAACTCAGGGTGACTCAAGTTGATCATTGCTCCCCTCAGACTGATGTATGCCGCCTGTGGAGTGACATCTTCTCCAGTGACCCCTGCAAGTCCGGATGTTTCAGCCCTCCACGGCTGATTGACCAGGAGTGGCCTCACCCAAAGCAACATCTGCCGCGCAAATGCCTCTTGCTCTTCTTCGTGCCCTCCAACATCTAGACCAAAGAATGCGGCAACGTGTTGATCGACAAAGCTTTTCGCAAGTTGCACCTGTGCATTCCACCATCGAGTTTCGACACGTTCTCGGAAATGTCGGCTGGCCGCCCTCAGAGAGCAAAGAACTTGCGGGTCGGAGGGCACAAAAAAAAGTAGTTTTCCCCAATCCCAATACCTGTTAACCGAAGTGAAATGCAAATACGAAGGCCACACATCTCGTTCAATCGTGGTGGATCCCTTCGGAATCGGTGGGCGGAACTCCTCTGAACCACGGGGTCGCGAAGCTCCTGCTTGGGCGGAAGTCGCATTGAACTCCATCGGGAGAACGGAGGAATCATGGCTGACATCTCCTCCAAACAGCACCTCAGCTGCGTTTATTTTTCTTTGGTGTTATTTAATTTTGATTAATTATGGAACATCATTAGCCTGATATGGCACGCAATCCCCTGAGTCAGGCACACTCTGACATTGGTTTTCAGTTAACTCAGTTCCCAGGTGGAAGTTAACTCAGTTCAGTTAACTCGATAAACGCGGCTCCAAAGCTGTTGCAAGTCTGCGGACGGCTGCTGAAGGAAATCGGTTTTAGGGAAAGTATCATGAAGAACAACCATGGAAACAACGAAACAGCGGCAGGGTGGACCATTGGTGTCAGCGTGTTGACAGCAGGTACGTTCGGATGATCAGTCCGAATATCCCACTCTGCGACCTAGCTTCGTTGAACTGGGTCAGCCACAGAGTGCCCAGTTCCCCTGCTTATGCAAGAAAACGAAAGGGAAAGGAACTCTTAGCCACAGAGCTTGACACACACACGACGCCGAACCCGGCGCCCATGTTGCAAGCGGCGACTGTTTTCGTCGTCGTTGGTTTTTTCAAAAAGCGTTCGCAGTCTCTTGCTGCGTGTCCCTTGAGGACGTAGAGACGGACTAGCTCATTGTGGTGGAAAATAGGACACTGGTAGGTGGGTGGATGAATGGATGGATGGAAGTGGGTTTGTGGGTAGGTGGATGGATGGATATGGATGGAAAGGGTGGATGGATGGATGGAACACACAGTTGGAATGCGTCCTAATGAGGTGTTTCTGGGCAATGTATGATTGCTTGCAATGTTGATTCATTGTGCAAAAACGTATGTCTATATATATATGTACAACTTGTGCGATCTTCAAAAAAAGTAGCTTGTGCACACAGGCATACACATTTTTCAAATATCAACACATACAAGAATTCATAAAAGGCATTCTATCTGTTTGATCTGTCGTAAGGGTCGTTCTCTTTTGTTCTTGTTGTGGGTTGCACAGGTGCAACGGCATTCTATCTGTGCGACAAAATCAACATTGCAGAACCCTACCTGCGGTTGGCCGGAATCATCGAAAATCAACATTGGTATTGTCCAAACCGTCATTCTAACTTTCAGTCCTGAGCTATAATGAGGTAGAAGCATATGAGAAGCAGGAACAAATGCACACTCACCGCGCACTGTACTCTAAATTTGTTTGAAACATAGCTTATCAAAATATCACAAAATATATAGTCACATAGGTCCTTTGACAGACTATTGTAAAGTACAACAACGGGTATTGTACATTATCAATGAAAATTTGTATCATTGCAAAAAATGTCATGAGGTAGAAGCATATGAGAAAAAGGTGCACACTCACAGCGCCCTGCACTTTAAAATTATCATTAGAAACAAAGTACACATCAAAAAACAATCATAAAAAGGCTTGTCATATATGTCCTTCCAACAATTGTATTGTAATGTACAACAACAGGTAATATATTATATATATAATATCACTGAATGAAGATATGGTAGAAAGAGTTTTTTCATTTCAACAATGTAATGAGGTAGAAGCATGTGAGAAACAAAACAAAAGTGTACTACCACTTTCCTCCAGCTCTCTTTTTTCCTGGTGCCGGGTCAAGTGTCGCACTTTTGGTCGCTAGTTTTTCCTGGTGCCGGGTCAAAAGTTGCCCTTTTCGTCGCATTTTGTTCGCTCTTTTTTCGCCCTTTCTCTCTCTTTGGCTAAGGCGAGCAAAGACCCAAAGCCCTCGATGTGAGCGTCAGCGAGCAATTGTCGACACAAGCCGCTTCATCTCCCCACACCAGGGAATGGGTAAAGAAAATGCTTCCACAACAATCCGTTTGTTTTTTCCGCTTTTTTGCACAACAAAACGGGAAAACAAAAACAACAAGCGAACAAAGAGCAGAAATCAGCGACCAAAAGTGCACCAGAAAGGGGACCCTTCCAAAAAGTGCGCCAGAAAGCCCGACTGAGTGCAGAAACCTCAGGGACCATGTAGATGTCAGCCGCCCCAGAGCTTTTTTGGAGGGGTGTACAGTTAGTCACAGTCGCTCACAGCTACACTACAGTAGCAGTAGCAGTAATTTTGTTACTGCTTGGCATGTATTGTACATGATTACCAGGTAACTCCGTTTTGTCAACTGGTTGTCACGCTGTTTGTTGCAGGGGTACTCTCTTGCTAGTTATAAACATGCTGTGTTATTCCAGTTTTGCGCGCAAGTTTTTTTGTTGTTTTGCTTTCATGATTGTTTTTTGCTTTTCTGGCTGCATTTTGAGATTATTTTTTTTGCATGTTTTCTTGCTTTTGTGTTTCTCGCTGCATTTTGTGCTTGCTATTTTTGTTGTTGTGTTTAAAATTTTCCAGATGATCCACTTCTAGAATAAAGAGGTCGGGCAAACACAACATTATGAAACCTCCATTCACGCGCTGCCTCAGTCATGACAAGTCCTGAATCGGGCCTACTACGCAAAACAGCGAACACCAACACAAGGATCCTGCACGAGGGCTTTGCACATAGCTGACACTTCTGCCCTCGCCCGAGTGTATATACACATTTACAATCTTTTACACCGAATTCCTTAAGAACAGTCACAAAACACGTTTGCTCGTTTTGATTTGCATTTCTTTTGCCGTTAATAAATAGGCAGCCCGCCTTTCTCCATGAATCGTCTTGCGGCTGCAATATCAACCCCTCTGGAACGTCTTCTGGCTGCATTTTCAACTGTTCTTGTTTTGGCTCCACAGTTTGCAGCTCCAAGAACGCAGTCACCAACCTCCTCACCAATGCTCGTGGAGAAAGAGTGGAAGTCTGCAACAGCTCGCGTATTGTGTCCACTTGTGGTACATTCATTGTGGCATTCATCGCTTTGTAAAGATATGCGAGCTCAGCACCCACACGCCCCTCCAAAAATTCACACCCTCTGCGCTTTTTAGGTAGTTGCAACACTGTCTTCATCACAGCGTTCACCAGTTCCGGGTCATCCCACTGAGTCCAATCTTGGCAAATTAAATATCGCAGGCTATAAGTCTCCTGTACCCACTCATCATCACCAAGGTCCTTGCCCCGGTAGACTGTTCGCAGCTGCCATTCCTTCAAATGCTGATGCTGTTCAGTTCTCTTGAGCCAGTTGAGCACCAGTGGTCTGACCCCACGAACGTTCAACAGCAATATTGGCGGGAGTTCATCAGCGAGGAAGCGCACAAACTGGACAACCTGTCGCAATCCTGGTGGCACTAGAAGAGGCGACCATCGCCGTGGCCTCGTTGCAAACATCCAAGAGAGTGATGTTTTTTTCCTGTCCTGGATGAACTGATCAAACAGTTTTGCTATGGTGGCACTCTGCTGCCGCGAAAGCCGTTCGTGAACGATCAAAATTACCCACACACTTCCTTTGGCAAGCAACACGTGAGGTTCTATTTTCAGTGCTCGGCAACCGTTGTAAATACATGTTGCCAAATCGTCGGCCTGACCACCTGACAAACCCAGCTTTTCACAACAAAACCAATATGTCAAGTCCACTTCGGGATCTTGCTCCCAAATTGGTTTGATCTCTTCCTCCAACCTCAGCATGTTCCCCACCCTTGGGGTCCCATCTTGGTAGCATCTTCCAATCTCGTCGAGCATCTCTCGAACAGCAAACGCATCATGATGTTCAAATCGTTTGCATGCCTCGAACACCTCTACGAGAAATGCTTCAGGCAGGTTCTTCATACTTTGAAACCATTCCCTCTCTCTTTCCGGCGTCTCCTGACTTCCCTCCGCGCCAGTGAGGCAATGCCTCAGTCAAACCAAAGGTTTGAAAGAAGGATGAACTCTTGGAGGCCTTTTGTGAGCTACAACCAATTGCAGTACACATACTGCAGTACATTTATTATTGTGGACTGCAAAACAACACACCGAACACAAATTGAAATTGTAGTGGTTGGATTTCTGAGTGGCAGCAAGCTCTTCAAAGTACTTTGAGTTAAAAGCATCTCCCAATACTTGAAATTAAATCTCCAGTCATGACTGCAGAAGCCCCTGGCAATGCTTGAAACTTGCTGCCTTACGTCAGCGTAGCGGCATTCATCCTCTCTGATTGCATCATGGGCCAGTCTGCGCACGTGCAGTGTGAACAAAGGTGCGTGGTATAGCCCTTCCAAGTGGTCAAGACTGTAACCAAATTCATTTGGTTCATTCACGCTGCCTTGCGTGTCAGTGAAGAGACGCATCAAGCGAGGTTCAATTGAATGAGCAGGAAGTTTGCCTTCTGCTGGCTCAAGCTCTCCGAGTGTGACGAACTTCGCTTCCTGAAACAAATTATCAAGTAAATAACCAACGCGGGCAAACCGGCAGCCCAAAAGGAAACATAGGCTTTCGGCGAAAAGGCAGGTGTCGTCCATCTTCATGTCTGGCTGGCACGCATGACAAAGCACCTCAACCAGTCTGAAGTAGATGTCACGCGACCCGGACTCTAAACACAAATTACTTTACTTCGAAAGACCCCCGCCATGACAATTCAATCATTTGTTGTCATGTCATGGTGAGGAGCATGTCGCCATGGTCGTGGGTTTTGTGGTTTTCAATTTTGCTTGTGGGTCCTCGGACTTGGGATTGTTAATTAGTGTTAGGGAGTTCGCGCGGGGTGCCGGGTTCTCCAGTTGGCATCCAAAAGTGCTAGCCTGTGACCACCTGCGCCGCAAAATGCCACACACACGGGTCACTATGTTATTGAGGTTGTGAATGTGTTTGTAGCTGTGTGTTTGTGATTGTGTTTGTGGCCGTGCTTGTGGTTGTGTGTCTGTGGATGTGTTTGTGTTTGCAGTTGTGTGTTTGTGGTTGTGTCTGTGATTGTGTGTTTGTGGTCGTGTTTGCGGTTGTGTGTTTGTGATAGTGTTTGTGTGTTCGTGTTGTGCATATGTGCTTGTGCTTGTGGTTGTGTGTGTTTGTGATTGTGTACTTGCGGTTGTGCTTGTGTTTGTAATTGTGTCCGTGGTCGTGTTTGTAGCTGTGTCTGTCATTGTGTGTTTGTGATCGTGTGGTTGTGGTTGTGTGTTGTGATTGTGTTTGTGGTTGTATTTGCGGTTGTGTTTGTGATAGTGTTTGTGGTTGCGTTTGTGATTGTGTTCGTGGTCGTGTTTGTGGCTGTGTGATTGTGATTGTGTTTGGGGTGTGTGTTTGTGGTTGTTTGTGTGGTTTTGTGTTTGTGGTTGTGTGTTGTGGTTTATCTGTTGGTGGTTGTGCTTTGTGTTTGTGTATATGATGTGGTTGTGCTTTCTTGGTTGTGAACTTTGTATTGTGTACGTGGTAATGTTGTGTGGTTGTGACGTGTGTTGTGTGTTGTGTGTTTGTGGCTGTGTGTTTGTGATTGTGTTTGCGAATGTGTTCGTGGTTGTGTGTTTGTGGTTTGTGTGTTGGTGGCTGTCTGTGTGCTTGTGGTTGTGTGCATGTTGTTGTGTGTATATGTAACCCTGCCTGTGTCTTACAACCTCCCAGCAACCACCACAGTCTACTCAAATGCCCCGCGTGCGTGCTGTCAACCGTTGCCCCTGTCTCTATATATACAAAATGAACCACTGAAGTTGAACTGCTTGCTGATTGTGCGTTTGTGGTTACGTTTGTCATTGTGTGTTTGTGGCTGTTTTTGTGATTGTGTTTGCCAACGTGCTTGTGGCTATGTGTTTCGGATTGTGTGTTTGTGGTTGTGTTTGTGATTGTGTTTGTGTGTTGGTGATTGTGTTTGTGGTTGTGTGTTGGTGGTTGTGTTTGTGGTAGTGTGTTTGTGATAGTGTTTGTGTTTGTCGTTCTGTACTGTGCATTGTGTGCGTGTGGTAATGTTGTGTGGTTGTGTGTTGTGTATTGCGTTTGTTGTGTGTTTGCGGTTGTGTGTTTGTGTTTGTGGTTTGTGTGTTTGCGGTTGTGTGTTTGTGATGTTGTGTGCTGGTGGTTGTGTTTGTGATTAAGTTTGTGGTTGTGTCTGTGGTTGTGTGTTTGTGATTGTGATTGGGGGGTGTTTTGTGTTTGTGATTGCGTTTGTGTTTGTCGTTCTGTACTGTGTATTGTGTGCGTTGTAGTGTTGTGTGGTTGTGTGTTGTGTGTTGTGTTTGTGGTTGTGTGTTGTGTGTTTGTGGTTGTGTGTTTGTGTTTGTGGTTTGTGTGTTTGCGGTTGTGTTTGTGATAGTGTTTGTCTGTTGGTGGTTGTGTTCGTGGTTGTGTGTTGGTGGTTGTGTTTGTGATTGAGTTTGTGGTTGTGTCTGTGGTTGTGTGTTTGTGGTTCTGATTGTATGTGATTGTGTTTGGTGTTTTGTGGTTGTGATTGTCGTTCTGTACAGTGTATTGTGGCCGCGTATTGTTTGTTGAGGTCCGCTAGTCTTGTAGTGCCTGCCCGGCAGGTTCGGTCGTCCGATGGTGCGTGCAATCAAGGTCAATGGGGCTTCATCAAACCATGCTCAATTTTCACAATAATAAGTGATGAAATGTGACCTGAAGAAACAGCACTGGCTGCCCAAGGCACAAACAAGTTGTTACAAGGGTCCGGGGGAGAACATGCACGCACAGGCTGATAGTGCCAGGCAACTTCCTTATCTTCTGTCACTTCAAGCCTACATGCAGCACTGATGATGAGGACATTCAAAGGTCCACATTCGCTGCCGGCGACTGTTCTAATGACCAAGTCTTCGAGGAGGAACAGCTCTTTTGGTTGCTGCAGGCCATGTGGCAATACAACGGTTAAACCAAAACAGTCATCTCTTAAACTAGAAGTATCATCACAATCATGAACACCCAAATCATCGTCTGAGTCTGTGCAATGTGATGTAACTGGTATACCAAAGTCATCATGACCCGTATCATAAGCGTGCCCTCCGAAGTAGACTAGCAGCTTTGAGCCTGTCTTCATCTTCTGCACAGCACGGCTGAGAGCATTTTGAATGTCACTTTTACTTTGTAACCGCACGTCGTCGGTCACAAGGATTGGATCGCTGCAAAGGCCACACTTCTTCACTGTTTCAGCCAGTCGTTGTGCATCTCTCACGGGAGACTCCAGGCGTTGTTTCGGGTTTTCCAATCCAACACCCAGGCCGATGATCACTGCTTCCCACTGGGCTTCGGTGTTGGGAGCGGCAGAGCTCGAAGAAGCACCCGACATCGCTATGGATGGGGAGAAGTCATTGAGATCTCCCCTAGCCGCAGCGTTTCCAAACTTATACAATCAGTGCAAATGAACCCGAGACAGGCTTCAACAACTTGCAATGTCTGGTGCCTTTCTTCATTGCTATGCTATGCCGTTGTATGCCCATGAATGTGAAAATCAAATGAATGAAGCCATAGTCGATCTATACCAATAGCATCCAATAGCCGCTCCTTTGTCCCGCAATTGTCATAAATGACTGGCACTGCCGTGCTACCCGCCACTGCCTTGATGTTATGATGCTATGTGTCTCTTGAACCTTCAAACTCCAGCCATGTGAACAACTCAAGTCACAGCAAGTTCCTCTTGCTTGACAGCTGCGAACCGTGATTGCTAAGAAATCTTCTTGGGTCCTGCATCAGGGCCTGCAGAAAAACAACTGTAATGATGGAAGGCATGGCACTGACTTGGTTCAGCAGGACCTGAAATACAGGACCGAACATCTCCAGTTGCCACTCCCTTTTTCCGCTTCCGTAAGCAAGATGCGTCACAGCCCACTCATCCTGGGCAACGATCTAATCCCCAATCCCCAAAAAGGTAAGGTGAGATATACAAGAAGTGGCCCAAATGGAATATCTAAGAAGAAGGAGGTCTTCCAGTTGTGAAGCACAACCCAGAGAATCTGTGACTGAGCACAACCTCCAAGCATTCCTCGCTGCTAGTTTGAACTTCTGCAAGGCTCTGGGCTCTGGGCAACAACTCTGCCACAATTGGATGCGGCCAAGATGCTTTGGAGCGACGGATCACATTCATTAGCTGAGTTGCAGAACTCATGATCTCAGTCGGGCAACCCAGTGCGACACAACGATGTTTAACTTCATCTGGGTTCGTGCGGTCAGCCACATTCAACCACCGCAACGAAAGCGTGAGATGTGTGGATGATCGAACATTGATCGTGTTGATGGAGCGGTCCATCAATCATGGTATTGTCAATCCCTTCTGGCTGCGGCTAGGGCGTGGGCTCACTGAGACAAAAAGCCTCCTCACAACAGAGTGCATGACCTGTCATAACGCAAACAGCACTGCACGAGGCAAGAAATGACTGTGGATCCTTCATGTTTCTTCAAATCACTCCAAACTCACATCAAGCGCCCCTCACCACGTCCTCAGGGGTGTGGGCCAAACCTGGACCCCCAAAAATACCTGGCTCTGCATGGTTGTGCATTCTGTTCATTCAATTTTCAGCCGTGAAAATCAGAGTTCCCCGGGGGTGTTGACTCACCTGTAACTCAACCCGGGCGACCGCCTCCTGGTCGACGCCGGTGGCGGTCCCTCGGCCATCCGCGCGGATGGCTGCAAACCTCCAAGGTCGAAGTCATCCTTTTTGGGAAGCTTGGAGGGTGGTTTTATTCCTGCTTGGACAGGCCAGGCATGCTGCGGCATGCCAGTAATTAATTAGATAATTAGTCCACTCCAAGAGTTGCACCAGGAAATGCAAGTCTATAAAGGAGGTGTGGAGTGTGTGATGAGATCATCCCAAGGTCTTATAAAATCACCAAAGGATCCCTCAAAGTTGATGCGTGCACGAGATGCTCGAGGCCCGAGCTTCTCCCACTCCTCGTCGAACTGCAATCGCCAAGCTTCCTGAGCACGTCTGACATCATCCGACCCTTGCAGAAGCTGGACTACTAGAAAGAACATGAAAGAACAGGCACGGCCAATGGAAACAAAGGATAAAAGACAACAAAAGCAGCACAAAAACAAACAAAAACTATCAAACACTTATCTCTACAGAACTTCTCTCTTTGGATAAACCGAGGCACCAAGACCGGCCTCTCTGGGTTGGAACCTCCACAGGTGCTGAAGGGAGAACTGGAGGGGAAGTTCCGGTGCAGCGTCTGGACTCTTCATGGATTCATTTGTTGAACTCTTCTCAGCTTGGAAGGAGCTGAAAATGAGAAACTGATAAGAAAGGAAAACGTTGGCCTTGGGGATCCGTATGCATGTCATAGGCTCAGCAACAAATTCAAAGGAGCAAGCCGGGCCTCCCATGGACAACGGCTTGTGCGACGGCCTGAGGCGAAGAAAGGCAAACATAAACACATCTCAATTTGACTCTCAATCTTATGGAGAGAAGACTTGGAGGGAGTGCTGCAGAAAGTCGGGGCACAAGGAATTGTGGAAGTGTGCCTGTCATGGCAGAATGATCTGAGGCCACCAGGGAAGCAAGACCACTCATCAAGACCGAAAGACTCAAATGACTCATCAAACACTGGGGGCCCTGCCACTCCAGCCACATGATCCGATCCTGCTTCGAAGCAACACCAGGTGTACCAGTGACCAGTGCAAACAATCAATTTATATAGATGTCAGAGCTCTTTTGGAGACATGCTGACACAGAAACACCATGCACTTATTATCACACGCTGTGCTGCACACAAGTGCTGCTTGTTTTCAGGCCACAGGTGACGCGCTGCCCTCAGGGTTTGCGGCCAACTTGGCTTCAGTGAGCTTGGCCATGGCCCGGAGCCGTTGCTGTTGCAGCTCCTGCCAAAGGGGCTGCTTTCATGGAGGTTTTCCTTTGTTTTAGATAGGGTGCCACAACTGACTACTGGAAGTTGATCAAACCGGACTAAACGGCGTAAGTTGCTAATGCAGGGTAATCAGGGAGAATTGCTATCAGCCGATCTGAGGCCCTTTGTTGAACCTGCTTAAAGTGAGGTCACTACAATGAAATGATTCGCAGCCAATCTCTTTTGTGTGACTTGATATGCATCAAACGCCCAGAAAAGAACGCCCAACAAAAACACACCATACAAGGGCCAATCCAACCCAATGCACGTTTGAATCAACAAGGTCTGATGATGTATATACACGAGTCGAACATGATATCAACATCACAAACCTCCATCTCGACATCACACAGCCACCAGATCTTCACCATACCCATTCCCACATCTCAATCTCCGCAGCCCACCACGTCCCACTCTGTGTTACCCAATTGTCCAATCAAATCTCCCTCCGTCTCCTCATTCTTCCGCCGGAGCTGGTCACACAGGACCAAGGCCTCATCTAAGAAGTCAGCGTATTTGCTGTAGCTGATCTGCGGCGCAGCGGAGCCCGCCGAGATCGACCGCTGCGCGTTGAGCTTCAGGTCCTTAAAACCGAAGTGAAGAGAGGGTGAACTGTTTTCCTGTGGAACATCTATAGGAGACGGTTTGATGAACTGTCAATCACTGGACCCATGGATGTTGGATGATGTTGGTGTCTTGGATGGACTTCGGAGGGCGACATGATCTCCCAAAAATCTGCTTCGAAAGGGTGCCATATATGCCACACAGTGGTCGCCTTCTATTGCGAAACAAATCCGAGAAGCTAGACACTGGCGTTGCATTTCGCCACAGGCCAGCAGCACCTGAGTTGTCTCTGGGAGGTTCCATCTTGGCGTGCGATTTGCTGCAACGAAGCTTTGGCATCATATGGCATCATTCTGAATGTATTGATTTCAGACAACAGCATTCAAACCTCAAAGAATACACTAAACTCTTGGCGCACCAAGGAAAAGCTTGAGAAAACTTGGTGAAGGCTAGAAAGCCATGTGGCATGACATGTGTTGATACATTGATTGGAAGCTCAATCTTCTCTCGTATCGGGTGCTGCCCTGCCCAACACCACCAACCCTTTTAGCCTGTGCTCCCCTTGCCGACTGTGATGGGACCCATCCAACCCACTTCTTGTGTTCGGCACCACTGCAATCTCCCGCATCCCATCATGCAGCAAGTTGATGCCAGCCGTGTGGGTCGCCATCACAGCAGATGGGGCACCAACTAAGCTGGCACCTGCAGCACCTGCCTTGTCCTTGGATGGGAAAATGGGAGAGTTCTGATTCCCCAACAATGCGGAAAAAGTGACTGTCGTGAGACTGTCTGAGACTCGGCGCAAGGTGTTGCTTGATCTGTTGGCCGCCCCAGGTGTGAACCAGTGTGAAAACCATCTGGCCCAATAGTTCCAGTGAAGGAGGGGACTGGGAGGAGAACTCTGTTGGCCGTGGTCACAAGCTGTTCCTGAAGCCGACTGGAACATCCGAGTGTCCGCAGCATCTCGAAGGATTTCGTGCAGGTTGGCAAACCTGGCGCACGGTGAGAAAGTCTGTGCACGGCGCACTGACGGACAGCTGACAGCGTGAGCTGAACGCTGAACAAATTCAGCGGACAGCCCCTTCGATTCTTCGAGGGGTCCAAAAGTTATGTTGTGCCCTGCACCGTTCACAACGACAAAGCAAACACACATAAAAAGAAGTTTCATGTTAGTATAGTTTGTATCTTATAGATATATCTTATATAGATTCAGTTATAGATTCATAGGATATTCTCACCTATATATAATATATATATATATACCAGTCTTCTGGGTGTTGCGCACAGCGAGCCTCTGCATGTCGGCATCCAGCACTCGGAAGTATCGTCCCAGCGCATCTTCCATCTCGGAATAAGGAATAGAGTCCTCGCAGTAGTAGTTAGAGGTTTGCTGTTCTTGCATTCTAGTGCGTGTGGATGGCTCTGAGAAAACCTGACACACAGGATCACACAGGAGATTCTGTTTCGTGAAGCGCACGTGCAATGCCAAGACGATCACACAAAGGCATGCTGAGTGCCACCCAAGGAGACATGGGCAACATGAAAATCCCTCATCTTGGCTGCTTAAAGCTTCTTTGGAGCTCCGAATGATTCGGAGCAGCTGGTGGAAACCGAGTCCTGTGACCCTGTCCTTGGTGTTGTTCTTGAGCTTCCGGGAGAGGCCCAAGACCACCACGCGGAAGGCCGGAGTAAGGTCCATGCCGCTTAAGGTTCGCTGCCGTAGGTCGAAGAAGGATTTGGAAACGCCTGGAGACGCCAGATCTTATCACGGATGGAGTGGATATTATGTGGACTTTGGAATTCGAAGTGCCAGGAAGATACCGTTTAAGTCCAAAGAATTGGGTGAGTCAGGATCTGAAGTGGGCTGCATGTTGACCCCTATCATTTATCAACTCGCCGACGGGAGGGACACCAGAAAGGCATCAAATGTTGGTCTGTGCGACAGCGAGCTCGAGTGTGAAGAGTTGGCCCTAAGGAGCCATGCGCAAAGAATCAAAGGTGGAGTCTAAAAACCAAGTTCTAAGTCACTAACGGATTGATTAAACATTAAAAAGGAGATTCCCGAATTCCACAGCCAGGCCCTTCACAGGATCCCTCCAGCATTTAGCTAAAGGAATCGGAAAACCATCGGGAAAAGAACACCATGGATTGCTTGCTAGGAAACTGAGGAGGTGCAGGACCTCCTCAGAAGCGCCCCAGAAAATCGGATGCTTTCGCTACTGCTGCATCCACAAATAGGATATGATATGATATGATCTTGGGCTCATTGGTCATTTCTTGCATAAATATGCATAAATTATAAATATTATATAATCTGTAGGACTATCTGTAGGTTCTGAATGGTTTCTGAATCCAACTTCCACGTCTCCGCGTGAGCTGCGATCAATGCACTCCCATCCGGCGTTCCCCTCACCCTCATGGCCCTCGCCTACACACTCCTCATCTTCAGGCTCATCAAACTCTTCGAACTCCTCTCGGTTCCGCTCCGCTTCGTCGACATCCGCATTGTACAGGCGCATGTCACGGGCAGAGAATGGTGAATGGTGCACCTAAGGGGAGGCAGGCCTGTGAATCTGTAAGGCTTCCTTCACAAACATCTGGAAACAAACCTCCATGGGAAAAAAGAACCGGTCGTGTCTGAGTAGGTGGTTGGTCACTATGAGTTAACTTAGGTGCTCATGTTTTGCATGTGACATGATGCATGTTTGGAGGGGCAGGCAGGATCTACATGGGCACAAACTGATGCATCGCACTTTGAGTGTGCATGGTGTCCAGTGTCAAAGGTGTTTGGTGAGACCCTGTGAGGATCTTATGGCGTGTTTGTCCTGGCACATGTTGTAGCTGTTCAGCTTGAGGATGCAAAATGCCCAAGATCAGGCTGGAGAAGCACAAACAAAGCAATGTTGTAAAGATTCCTTGTCTTCAAATCACCTTTTATTCTGGACTCAGCTGCTTGTAAACATGGCGTAACCACTACTTGCATGCAGAAAGTAAGATGAAGTAAGTGAAGTTGCACGTTTCGTTAACATGGAGTCAAGAACCTCTGACTCCACAGAAGGCCCTTGGCGTTTGTCGCTTACACAAGCATGGTGACCAACATACTCACAATGCTCGGCTCCCTGATTCCCACACCACCGGACTGCCCTCGTCTGCCCTCGGCATTTTCATTGGCCATCAGTGTCTGCCGCGACCCACGTGAGCCACGAAGCTCGCGCCGTCCTTTTGGGCCCAAAGCCACGCAGAGATGGGCTGAGTGAGTCGTCTGAGGCTTCAGCAGTCTGGTGGTTTCTAGTATCGTGTGATCCCCATAGGCTTTGAGATGCTGTGAGCTAAGGGCCAAAAGAGTACAAATGCTTCAGCTGCTTTCTTTGGAGGAAACGCCAGGTGCGTCGGCATCCTCAGCATGCTGAGCATCTGAAAGCTGCGATGATATTGGCTCGGATGTCCTGAAACTTCACATTGGCAGCAGTTGATTCGGAGGAGCACGAAGAAAACTTAATTTCTGCTTAGCATCATCGCAGCTGATGATAACCCTAGGGTCATCCCGGTTCCTTCCAGTCACTGCCGGTCACTGCATGTTTCTTGTCACATGAAGAGCTGCCTTCGACACTGCCAGTTATTGTCATGATCAGTCAGGAATTACAAGAGAAGATGGTTGGCACACCACATTTGTGAAAAAAGAGCACATATTATCTCAAGATACCTCAAGCCCTCCCTCCATGTCTCTCTGCGACTCTGCGGTAAGGACCTACCAGAGTGCTTGGACCTCGTCTTGTTTCGCGGTTGTTTGTCCCGGAGAAACGAGTTTCCTCCGATCCAGATCCGTGGAATATGCGGGCGTCAAAGGCTGCAAAGCAGGCACTGGTGGCCATACCTGGGGATTGCCATGGATGGCCCCGCCTGGCGACAGGTGAGTGATGACAGAGTGGTTAGTGGTTTCAAATAATCTGCTGACTGACAGGAAAACAGAGTGGCTGCAAGTTGCTGTCCGTGTGGGAACTGAGTGTGTTTTCTGTTGAGCAATCATGGCAACACGCCCCGTGCAGCCGCCCATCGGTGGCCTGCCACTCATCCAGCTCCGGGCGGTAGAACTCCGACGAGGATAAAACACTCCCATTCTGTCCGCCCGTCACCTAGAAATTGCCGTCAGCAAGTGAGGGACCGTGTTTGA